GCAGGAGCAAGTACAGCAGGAGCAGGTACAGCAGGAGCAGGTACAGCAGGAGGAGGTACAGCAGGAGCAAGTACAGCAGGAGCAGGTACACCAGGAGCAAGTACAACAGGAGCAGGTACAGCAGGAGCAGGTACAGCAGGAGCAAGTACAGCAGGAGCAGGTACAGCAGGAGCAAGTACAGCAGGAGCAAGTACAGCAGGAGCAGGTACAGCAGGAGCAGGTACACCAGGAGCAAGTACACCAGGAGCAAGTACACCAGGAGCAAGTACACCAGGAGCAAGTACAGCAGGAGCAGGTACAGCAGGAGCAAGTACAGCAGGAGCAAGTACAGCAGGAGCAGGTACAGCAGGAGCAGGTACACCAGGAGCAAGTACAGCAGGAGCAAGTACAGCAGGAGCAAGTACACCAGGAGCAAGTACAGCAGGAGCAGGTACAGCAGGAGCAAGTACAGCAGGAGCAAGTACAGCAGGAGCAGGTACAGCAGGAGCAGGTACAGCAGGAGCAGGTACAGCAGGAGCAAGTACAGCAGGAGCAGGTACAGCAGGAGCAAGTACAGCAGGAGCAGGTACAGCAGGAGCAAGTACAGCAGGAGCAAGTACAGCAGGAGCAGGTACACCAGGAGGAGGTACAGCAGGAGCAAGTACAGCAGGAGCAAGTACACCAGGAGCAGGTACAGCAGGAGCAAGTACAGCAGGAGCAGGTACAGCAGGAGCAAGTACAGCAGGAGCAGGTACAGCAGGAGCAGGTACAGCAGGAGCAGGTACAGCAGGAGCAAGTACAGCAGGAGCAGGTACACCAGGAGGAGGTACACCAGGAGCAGGTACACCAGGAGGAGGTACAGCAGGAGCAAGTACAGCAGGAGCAAGTACAGCAGGAGCAGGTACAGCAGGAGCAAGTACAGCAGGAGCAGGTACAGCAGGAGCAAGTACAGCAGGAGCAGGTACAGCAGGAGCAAGTACAGCAGGAGCAAGTACAGCAGGAGCAGGTACACCAGGAGCAGGTACAGCAGGAGCAAGTACAGCAGGAGCAAGTACACCAGGAGCAGGTACAGCAGGAGCAAGTACAGCAGGAGCAGGTACAGCAGGAGCAAGTACAGCAGGAGCAGATACACCAGGAGCAGGTACAGCAGGAGCAAGTACAGCAGGAGCAGGTACAGCAGGAGCAAGTACAGCAGGAGCAAGTACAGCAGGAGCAGGTACAGCAGGAGCAGGTACAGCAGGAGCAAGTACAGCAGGAGCAAGTACAGCAGGAACAGGTACAGCAGGAGCAGGTACAGCAGGAGCAAGTACAGCAGGAGCAAGTACAGCAGGAGCAGGTACAGCAGGAGCAAGTACAGCAGGAGCAAGTACACCAGGAGCAAGTACAGCAGGAGCAGGTACAGCAGGAGCAGGTACACCAGGAGCAAGTACAGCAGGAGCAGGTACAGCAGGAGCAGGTACAGCAGGAGCAGGTACAGCAGGAGCAGGTACACCAGGAGCAAGTACAGCAGGAGCAGGTACAGCAGGAGCAGGTACAGCAGGAGCAAGTACAGCAGGAGCAAGTACAGCAGGAGCAGGTACAGCAGGAGCAAGTACAGCAGGAGCAGGTACAGCAGGAGCAAGTACAGCAGGAGCAAGCAAGTACAGCAGGAGCAGGTACAGCAGGAGCAAGTACAGCAGGAGCAAGTACAGCAGGAGCAGATACAGCAGGAGCAGGTACAGCAGGAGCAAGTACAGCAGGAGCAGGTACAGCAGGAGCAAGTACAGCAGGAGCAAGTACAGCAGGAGCAGGTACAGCAGGAGCAGGTACAGCAGGAGCAAGTACAGCAGGAGCAGGTACACCAGGAGCAAGTACAACAGGAGCAGGTACAGCAGGAGCAGGTACAGCAGGAGCAAGTACAGCAGGAGCAGGTACAGCAGGAGCAAGTACAGCAGGAGCAAGTACAGCAGGAGCAGGTACAGCAGGAGCAGGTACACCAGGAGCAAGTACACCAGGAGCAAGTACACCAGGAGCAAGTACACCAGGAGCAAGTACAGCAGGAGCAAGTACAGCAGGAGCAGGTACAGCAGGAGCAGGTACAGCAGGAGCAGGTACAGCAGGAGCAAGTACAGCAGGAGCAGGTACAGCAGGAGCAAGTACAGCAGGAGCAAGTACAGCAGGAGCAGGTACACCAGGAGCAGGTACAGCAGGAGCAAGTACAGCAGGAGCAGGTACAGCAGGAGCAGGTACAGCAGGAGCAGGTACAGCAGGAGCAGGTACAGCAGGAGCAAGTACAGCAGGAGCAGGTACAGCAGGAGCAAGTACAGCAGGAGCAGGTACAGCAGGAGCAAGTACAGCAGGAGCAAGTACAGCAGGAGCAGGTACAGCAGGAGCAAGTACAGCAGGAGCAAGTACAGCAGGAGCAGATACAGCAGGAGCAGGTACAGCAGGAGCAAGTACAGCAGGAGCAGGTACAGCAGGAGGAGGTACAGCAGGAGCAAGTACAGCAGGAGCAGGTACAGCAGGAGCAAGTACAGCAGGAGCAAGTACAGCAGGAGCAGGTACAGCAGGAGGAGGTACAGCAGGAGCAAGTACAGCAGGAGCAGGTACACCAGGAGCAAGTACAACAGGAGCAGGTACAGCAGGAGCAGGTACAGCAGGAGCAAGTACAGCAGGAGCAGGTACAGCAGGAGCAAGTACAGCAGGAGCAAGTACAGCAGGAGCAGGTACAGCAGGAGCAGGTACACCAGGAGCAAGTACACCAGGAGCAAGTACACCAGGAGCAAGTACACCAGGAGCAAGTACAGCAGGAGCAGGTACAGCAGGAGCAAGTACAGCAGGAGCAAGTACAGCAGGAGCAGGTACAGCAGGAGCAGGTACACCAGGAGCAAGTACAGCAGGAGCAAGTACACCAGGAGCAAGTACACCAGGAGCAAGTACAGCAGGAGCAGGTACAGCAGGAGCAAGTACAGCAGGAGCAAGTACAGCAGGAGCAGGTACAGCAGGAGCAGGTACAGCAGGAGCAGGTACAGCAGGAGCAAGTACAGCAGGAGCAGGTACAGCAGGAGCAAGTACAGCAGGAGCAGGTACAGCAGGAGCAAGTACAGCAGGAGCAAGTACAGCAGGAGCAGGTACACCAGGAGGAGGTACAGCAGGAGCAAGTACAGCAGGAGCAAGTACACCAGGAGCAGGTACAGCAGGAGCAAGTACAGCAGGAGCAGGTACAGCAGGAGCAAGAACAGCAGGAGCAGATACACCAGGAGCAGGTACAGCAGGAGCAAGTACAGCAGGAGCAGGTACAGCAGGAGCAAGTACAGCAGGAGCAAGTACAGCAGGAGCAGGTACAGCAGGAGCAGGTACAGCAGGAGCAAGTACAGCAGGAGCAAGTACAGCAGGAACAGGTACAGCAGGAGCAGGTACAGCAGGAGCAAGTACAGCAGGAGCAAGTACAGCAGGAGCAGGTACAGCAGGAGCAAGTACAGCAGGAGCAGGTACAGCAGGAGCAAGTACAGCAGGAGCAGATACACCAGGAGCAGGTACAGCAGGAGCAAGTACAGCAGGAGCAGGTACAGCAGGAGCAAGTACAGCAGGAGCAGGTACAGCAGGAGCAGGTACAGCAGGAGCAAGTACAGCAGGAGCAAGTACAGCAGGAACAGGTACAGCAGGAGCAGGTACAGCAGGAGCAAGTACAGCAGGAGCAAGTACAGCAGGAGCAGGTACAGCAGGAGCAAGTACAGCAGGAGCAAGTACACCAGGAGCAAGTACAGCAGGAGCAGGTACAGCAGGAGCAGGTACACCAGGAGCAAGTACAGCAGGAGCAGGTACAGCAGGAGCAGGTACAGCAGGAGCAGGTACAGCAGGAGCAGGTACAGCAGGAGCAAGTACAGCAGGAGCAGGTACAGCAGGAGCAGGTACAGCAGGAGCAAGTACAGCAGGAGCAGGTACAGCAGGAGCAGGTACAGCAGGAGCAGGTACAGCAGGAGCAGGTACAGCAGGAGCAAGTACAGCAGGAGCAAGTACAGCAGGAGCAGGTACAGCAGGAGCAAGTACAGCAGGAGCAGGTACAGCAGGAGCAAGTACAGCAGGAGCAAGTACAGCAGGAGCAGGTACAGCAGGAGCAGGTACAGCAGGAGCAGGTACAGCAGGAGCAAGTACAGCAGGAGCAGGTACAGCAGGAGCAGGTACAGCAGGAGCAAGTACAGCAGGAGCAAGTACAGCAGGAGCAGGTACACCAGGAGCAGGTACAGCAGGAGCAAGTACACCAGGAGCAAGTACACCAGGAGCAAGTACACCAGGAGCAGGTACAGCAGGAGCAAGTACAGCAGGAGCAGGTACAGCAGGAGCAGGTACAGCAGGAGCAGGTACAGCAGGAGCAGGTACAGCAGGAGCAAGTACACCAGGAGCAAGTACACCAGGAGCAGGTACAGCAGGAGCAAGTACAGCAGGAGCAGGTACACCAGGAGCAGGTACAGCAGGAGCATTGACGTTGCATTGATGCATGAAGGTAAAGCATTAGAGGTGAAACGATACAGCAAGGTCACAGTACGATATGTATCGCGGTATGCATATTTACATCATGTGGAAATGTCTCGACTATAAATAATTAAATAAATATATATCAGAGCAGGTTCAAAAGGAAAAGCTAGCTGTAGACACGTTTGTTGCGGCTTTTTCAGTGGTGAACATAATTACAACACATTTTGCAAATTTGACTGACAGTAACACTGGGGGTCATAAAATGAGCAGTAATGTATTTTAGCAAGTGTATTATCTAGTATCAATACAGAAAAATATGTATCATGTATCGCATTGTCACATGAAAACTCATGATGCACCGATGTATCGTTTCACCTCTATGAAGCATCACAGTCGTCTGTAATGTGTTGTCAGATTGAGGCAAAAAACATATATAATAACCAGATATAATAACTTCATCTTGGATGATGCATTGATGATTGAAGCTCAATTCATGGAGAAATAGCTTCTGTAATCCAGCTTGAGTTATGAAATAAATACTGAATCATAAGTCTAATGTTACTTACATGTCCCGACCCGTACACCGGGCTGATTGGAAGGTCCTTCTTCCTGTGTATACAAGGTCGGGGGGCAGGGGGGGAGGGGGGCAGACCCACAGGGGAGGGGTCGGGGGAGGTGTGCATCACCACCACGGTGTATGGCGGACTCTTCATCGCACCAGACTCCGAAGCTACGACCTCAGGGGCCACAAGGGGAGATGACTCTGCCGAGGAACCATCACTCGTGTTACTGCCATCATGGCAACGGAAGTTACCTTCATTGAGGTCAACGTCAACACAATCTTTACTCGTAACTGACTCGACATTGCTTCTTTTACGCAAATGTTCATCTCCATATAACTGTTCCTCAATCTCACCACCCTCCGTGGATGACTTCATGCAATTTTCTATGTCACCGTAAGTTCTTTTCCGAGATTTGGACATTTCAGTAACATCTGGCAAGCTTGAAGTGCTGTCCACCCTCTTGAAGCGTATCTTCCTAGTCTGCTTCATCACATGATCTGCCAGATCCAGCCCTGAGAAGTCCTGCGTCAACCCAGAGCTCCGTGGCACCGACATCAAGTCCTTCTTCAGCTTATTGGTAGCAGCTGATACCAAGGCAGTTTTCTTCCTGTCGTTACAGTCTGCAATTTTGTCTTTCTTCCCATCAGCTTCCCATTTTTTCCTGGCTGAACTCAACGCAAGTGTCCTGATCTCCTGCGTCAGTCCGGTGTTGGGGACTCGGGGAGAACTAACAGCTCTGATGCCTGGCATGAAGACATCAGAAGCACCATCATGTGGAGGATCCTGCACCTCCTCCCTGGACTGGACTGTTTGGGACCTGACCTCCTGGGTAAGACCAGTGCTGGGTCCTTGGGACGGGTCCTGACTGTCCTCCCTAGGCCTGAATGTTAACAAACTGATCTCCTGGGTAAGACCTGTGTTGGACACTTGGGACGGAACCTGACTGTCTTCACTGGAACTGCTGAGGAATGTCAACCGACACCGCTCATCCTTCTGCCCAATGCTCACATCACAGTCGCCGAGTTCACAGTTATCTTCGTCCATGTTTCTCCAGTCCTGGCCATCTCTACTGCCCTGCCAGTCTGACACGCTCCCAACCCGGGATGACAGTTTCTCTTCACGGATCACCCCCATCACGTGCACGCCAACGCTGCTCCGTCGAGACAGAGCGCTGTCATCCGAGTACTCAAAGCTTCTCCTCCGCTGAGCACGACACCGCAAGCTTTGTTGACTGGTCTCTGCCTCATCGTCAGAGGGGTAGCTGTAACCACTGCTGCCCCGGTTAGACATGCTGGTGAAGCGGCCGGACTCCACGGACGAGTCCAGGTAGGAGACGCTGAGGTCAGCGTCAGACATGGAGTGGGCTCTGGTGTCAGCCTCACTCTCTTCACTGTAAGACCCCTCTCTCATACTGCGCAGGTTGCGAGCAGCATACGAGTTCCACACTGCTTCATCAGTCCGATGAAGTTGCGGAGTTTCCTCAGAGAAGCTTTCCTGTCTTGAAGACGTCTTCTCGTGACTCTGACAACCATCGTCCTGAGATCGGTCACAAGATGACAACTCTCGCTTGTCCTGATCTGTTTCTGTGGACGAGAACACACTGTCCCCGGACTGACTGAACAGGCTAGCTTTGGGTTCAGAAGTCTCCAGATCGCTGTCAGTGCTGACCTTCTTCCTAGATCTGTTCCCCGTGCTCTCTGCTTCCGATTGGCTCCAGTTCAGAGAGTCCTGTAAAGTTGGTGTGAGACTCTGGACGGGGGCGGGCGGGCGGTCATCATCACCAGTAGAGATGTTCCTCTTCTTCTCTGGGTAGCCCCTCCTGGAGGGGGTGAGGGAGATGCGTAACAAGGGGGATGTGGTGCTGTAGGTCCGAAGGGGGCTGCAGAACGGGGACTTGTCCCCCAGAGGACGGGGACTACAACAGGTTGACCTCTGACCTGAAGGCATTGGACTGACAAACAGTGCAGGTTTCTTTGCTTTTCTGGTTGATGGCAAGTTCTGGAACAAACAATGATTATATCTTGCAGACAAAGCAGCATTTTAGCCAACGACAATCTTGTCAAGGTCAACTCCACACAGACAGGTGTGTGATGTGTTTTATGTCAGTGTAATCTATTGTTAAACAATGATTGTAACTGTATTACATTGTGTCTGTTATATGTCAGTGTAATGTATTGTTAAACAATGATTGTAACTGTATTACATTGTGTCTGTTATATGTCAGTGTAATGTATTGTTAAACAATGATTGTAACTGTATTACATTGTGTCTGTTATATGTCAGTGTAATCTATTGTTAAACAATGCTTGTAAATGTATAACATTGTGTCTGTTATATGTCAGTGTAATGTATTGTTAAACAATGATTGTAACTGTATTACATTGTGTCTGTTATATGGCAGTGTAATCTATTGTTAAACAATGATTGTAACTGTATTACATTGTGTCTGTTATATGTCAGTGTAATCTATTGTTAAACAATGATTGTAAATGTATAACATTGTGTCTGTTATATGTCAGTGTAATCTATTGTTAAACAATGCTTGTAAATGTATAACATTGTGTCTGTTATATGTCAGTGTAATGTATTGTTAAACAATGATTGTAACTGTATTACATTGTGTCTGTTATATGGCAGTGTAATGTATTGTAAAACAATGATTGTAAATGTATTACATTGTGTCTGTTATATGTCAGTGTAATGTATTGTAAAACAATGATTGTAACTGTATTACATTGTGTCTGTTATATGGCAGTGTAATGTATTGTAAAACAATGATTGTAACTGTATTACATTGTGTCTGTTATATGGCAGTGTAATGTATTGTAAAACAATTATTGAAAATGTATTACATTGTGTCTTTTATATGGCAGTGTAATGTATTGTAAAACAATGATTGTAACTTATTACATTGTGTCTGTTCTATGCCAGTGTGATTTATTGTTAATTATGAATAATTTTTTAATTTGAAGTTAACAGGATATACGGCTTTTCCATTGGACGAGAGGTCGGTCACATGACCGCGAAACTGACGTTCAGGAGTGTATGAACTACAAAATTTGACGTTCATACGTTTTTCACGAGACCGTGTTCTTGAAATGACGTAAACACTGACTACTTCCACATTCCTGGCGAAACCCCTGGGAATTCCCTAGCACGAAAACATACATAAGCGTTCTTTCTTTTCATTTAGAACCTTTAATCTTGGTCTCAGCGTTTGCACATCCAGACTATCGTCAGTATCGACTCGATCCACACCTGGGCTGACAGTGACCGTCTCCAGCAATCTACGAATTTACCTTAGTGTCTGTTTGACGCATCTTTAATCACCTTTCAATGATCGGTCAGTTGATCAATGATGACTAACACATGTAACCGCCTGTCTGTTATATGGCAGTGTAATGTATTGTTAAACAATTATTGTAACTGTATTACAATGTGTCTGTTATAAGGCGGTGTAATGTATTGTTAAACAATGAGTGTAAATGTGTTACATTGTGTCTGTTAGAGGGCAGTGTAACTTATTGTAAAACAATGAGTGTAAATGTGTTACATTGTGTCTGTTAGAGGGCAGTGTAACTTATTGTAAAACAATGAGTGTAAATGTGTTACATTGTGTCTGTTAGAGGGCAGTGTAACTTATTGTAAAACAATTGTAAATGTGTTACATTGTGTCTGTTAGAGGGCAGTGTAACTTATTGTAAAACAATTGTAAATGTGTTACATTGTGTCTGTTAGAGGGCAGTGTAACTTATTGTAAAACAATTGTAAATGTGTTACATTGTGTCTGTTAGAGGGCAGTGTAACTTATTGTAAAACAATTGTAAATGTGTTACATTGTGTCTGTTAGAGGGCAGTGTAACTTATTGTAAAACAATGAGTGTAAATGTGTTACATTGTGTCTGTTAGAGGGCAGTGTAACTTATTGTAAAACAATTGTAAATGTGTTACATTGTGTCTGTTAGAGGGCAGTGTAACTTATTGTAAAACAATTGTAAATGTGTTACATTGTGTCTGTTAGAGGGCAGTGTAACTTATTGTAAAACAATTGTAAATGTGTTACATTGTGTCTGTTAGAGGGCAGTGGTGAGGAATTTATTATATTTAGACACTCAAATTATCAGTAAACTTGGATGTCAAGCGTTATAGAAACATGTTGAATGTTCTGCGATATTCTAGAAAGTGTTGGGAGCTGGTTAGACTAAATAAGTGGAGCTGGCAGGTCCCAGTCTAATCTCACATTTCATCTCACATTACATCAAGACCAGACTTTTGTGTGAAGAAGACATTTCACCCTGGATTCCTAGCCTATGCCTATCTCGGAAGCTTGACCATTGTTGCAGCGAGGTGTTTTCTTATTATATTTATTGTCATTTACTGTCATATGCTCTCACATTTTATACTGCCTTTGAATATTGTACTACCACTCTACTGCAATTGCTGTACAGTATTGATTTGTAAACCTAGTGTTTGTTTGTTTGTTGTTTAATGCCACACTCAGCAATATTCCAGCTATATGACGGAGGTCTGTAAATCATCGAGTCTGGACCAGAAAATCCAGTGATTGACATCATGAGCATTGATCCACGCAATTGGGATACGATAACACACATCAACCAAGACATCGAGTCTGACTACTTGCTCCTGTTAGTCGCCTCTTACGACAAAATAGTTGACCTATTCTACCCCGGATCTTCACAGGTCTGTAAATCTAGTTAATTTTGTTATACAATTATTGATAATTGACACTAAACTCTTTTACGTACCGATTTCTGGGTTAACATATTGTTTCAATTTGGGAATCGACACATAACAGACGCAATGAACACAAAAGTATATGACAAAGAATTGGAAATATGGCAGTTATAGCCCTCAGAGTTGGTCATTTATAAGAAAAGTTCCTTGTATCATTGTACATGCTATTTCCAGTGTTTCTAACGTCTTTGCGTCGGTGAAAAAACATCAGAACTCAGTGTAGCATGTATTATGAACATTCCTCTACAGCTTTTTCTGGGTGCACAATACTCAAGAAAATACAGTAGATTGCAATTATTTATCTGCAATATTCAGGTTAGGTTACCATGGTTACTTACAAATGCCAGGGAGGACCTGAGAGACAGTATCTGTCCGGGTGTGCGGTAGATGTGGAACTTGCTGCTGGCATCATATGCCGGCTTCTGGAAGTCGTCCACTGAAACATCAGGGAACATGCATCACAGAGAGAGGCGTGGTTTGACGCCACAGTCGGCAATATTCCAACAGTATCACTGAAGCCTGTAAATTATCAACTCTTGATGGGCAAACCAGTGACTGAAGGCATGAAGGTATGATTGAAGCAAGAGCTACAATTTACATTATCAAGGTATGATGGAAGCAAGAGCAATGATCAACGTTATCAAGGTATGATGGAAGCAAGAGCTATGATCAACGTTATCAAGGTACAATGGAAGCAAGAGCTATGATCAACGTTATCAAGGTATGATGGAAGCAAGAGCTATGATCAACGTTATCAAGGTACAATGGAAGCAAGAGCTATGATCAACGTTATCAAGGTACAATGGAAGCAAGAGCTATGATCAACGTTATCAAGGTATGATGGAAGCAAGAGCTATGATCAACGTTATCAAGGTATGATGGAAGCAAGAGCTATGATCAACGTTATCAAGGTATGATGGAAGCAAGAGCTACAATTTACATTATCAAGGTATGATGGAAGCAAGAGCAATGATCAACGTTATCAAGGTACAATGGAAGCAAGAGCTATGATCAACGTTATCAAGGTATGATGGAAGCAAGAGCTATGATCAACGTTATCAAGGTACAATGGAAGCAAGAGCTATGATCAACGTTATCAAGGTACAATGGAAGCAAGAGCTATGATCAACGTTATCAAGGTATGATGGAAGCAAGAGCTATGATCAACGTTATCAAGGTATGATGGAAGCAAGAGCTATGATCAACGTTATCAAGGTATGATGGAAGCAAGAGCTATGATCAACGTTATCAAGGTACGATGGAAGCAAGAGCTATGATCAACGTTATCAAGGTACGATGGAAGCAAGAGCTGTGATCAATGTTATCAAGGTACGATGGAAGCAAGAGCTATGATCAACGTTTTCAAGGTATGATGGAAGCAAGAGCTATGATCAACGTTATCAAGGTACGATGGAAGCAAGAGCCATGATCAATGTTATCAAGGTACAATGGAAGCAAGAGCTATGATCAACGTTATCGAGGTACGATGGAAGCAAGAGCTATGATCAACGTTATCAAGGTATGATGGAAGCAAGAGCTATGATCAACGTTATCAAGGTACGATGGAAGCAAGAGCTATGATCAATGTTATCAAGGTACAATGGAAGCAAGAGCTATGATCAACGTTATCAAGGTACGATGGAAGCAAGAGCTATGATCAACGTTATCAAGGTATGATGGAAGCAAGAGGTATGATCAACGTTATCAAGGTACAATGGAAGCAAGAGCTACGATTCACATTATCAAGGTACGATGGAAGCAAGAGCTATGATCAACGTAATCAAGGTACGATGGAAGCAAGAGCTATGATCAACGTTATCAAGGTACGATGGAAGCAAGAGCTATGATCAACGTTATCAAGGTATGATGGAAGCAAGAGCTATGATCAACGTTATCAAGGTACAATGGAAGCAAGAGCTACGATTCACATTATCAAGGTACGATGGAAGCAAGAGCTATGATCAACGTTATCAAGGTACGATGGAAGCAAGAGCTATGATCAACGTTATCAAGGTATGATGGAAGCAAGAGCTATGATCAACGTTATCAAGGTACGATGGAAGCAAGAGCTATGATCAACGTTATCAAGGTACAATGGAAGCAAGAGCTATGATCAACGTTATCAAGGTATGATGGAAGCAAGAGCTATGATCAACGTTATCAAGGTACGATGGAAGCAAGAGCTATGATCAATGTTATCAAGGTATGATGGAAGCAAGAGCTATGATCAACGTTATCAAGGTACAATGGAAGCAAGAGCTATGATCAACGTTATCAAGGTATGATGGAAGCAAGAGCTATGATCAACGTTATCAAGGTATGATGGAAGCAAGAGCTATGATCAACGTTATCAAGGTATGATGGAAGCAAGAGCTATGATCAACGTTATCAAGGTATGATGGAAGCAAGAGCTATGATCAACGTTATCAAGGTACAATGGAAGCAAGAGCTATGATCAACGTTATCAAGGTATGATGGAAGCAAGAGCTATGATCAACGTTATCAAGGTATGATGGAAGCAAGAGCTATGATCAACGTTATCAAGGTACGATGGAAGCAAGAGCTATGATCAACGTTATCAAGGTATGATGGAAGCAAGAGCTATGATCAACGTTATCAAGGTACGATGGAAGCAAGAGCTATGATCAACGTTATCAAGGTATGATGGAAGCAAGAGCTATGATCAACGTTATCAAGGTATGATGGAAGCAAGAGCTATGATCAACGTTATCAAGGTACAATGGAAGCAAGAGCTATGATCAACGTTATCAAGGTACGATGGAAGCAAGAGCTATGATCAATGTTATCAAGGTACGATGGAAGCAAGAGCTATGATCAACGTTATCAAGGTACGATGGAAGCAAGAGCTATGATCAACGTTATCAAGGTACGATGGAAGCAAGAGCTATGATCAACGTTATAAGGGTATGATGAAAGCATGAGATATGAGCAATCAGTACGCCCCCTACATGGTATTAATCTGAACATTTGCCTTTACTAACCTGTATCTAGTGATACCTTGGACAGTCCGAAGTCTGTGAGTTTGATGTGACCTTGATCTGTTACCAACATGTTGTCAGGCTTCAGGTCCCTACCAACAGAGACAAACAAAAATATACATCGGCTTCAGGTCCTACCAACAAAGACAAACAAAAATATACATCGGCTTCAGGTCCTACCAACAAAGACAAACAAAAATATACATCGGCTTCAGGTCCTACCAACAGAGACAAACAAAAATATACATCGGCTTCAGGTCCCTACCAACAGAGACAAACAAAAATATACATCGGCTTCAGGTCCCTACCAACAGAGACAAACAAAAATATACATCGGCTTCAGGTCCCTACCAACAAAGACAAACAAAAATATACATCGGCTTCTGGGCCCACTTGCACAAAGCGATCTTAGCACTACAACTATTGTAAGCCTATGTTAAAGTATGGGAGTTACGATCATCTTAGCGCTAAGATGGCTTTGTGCAAGTGGGCCCAGGTGCCCACCAACAAAGACATAAGTTGTAGGAGGATCACTCGGGGTACATGAGGTTTTATGCGTCCTGCGTGATTTTTTATACAATAAATTTATCCTGTAAAAACATGACATTGTAAAAGAATGAAATCAAATTAAAAATTGATAGGTAGTGAAAGGGGTTTAATGTCTTCATCCAAGATTATTGCACTTACATAGCGAAGTGTATGCACATGTGTGTGTTGGGCTGCTTGTGCTAGTCTGGACTGATGCCGATTTATAGTGCTAGCCCACTGAGATACCATGTTGCAGTTTAACATGAATACCCCACTCAGACACAGTATACTGACTCCAAGCCGACCAGTCGTTTTAGCCCCTTAATGCCAAGCGCCAGACAGGGTAAAAGCAAGTCCCACCTTAACGTCTTTTGGTATGACGCGGACGGGGATCGAACCCACGGACCTTCCGCCCTCCGGGCATACGCTCTACCACTAGATTACGGAGGCTGTCTCAAAATTGATAAAAAACAGCTGTTCAATTGAGCTGAGTTTACTTGTGCTATGTCACATGACTTCCATTGATTCAGAAAAAACGTGCAGCTTTTTGCTTCAAAGCGGGGTATAAGGGATATATTCTGTCTCTCGGAAATCTATGTGCAGCCTGACTTACTCATGGCTGGGTATAAGAGATTTATTCCCAGTGGCCATGAAACTCAACTATATATTATAAATTCTCTGAAATATATTGATGCTCTGGGGATTTCATTTAGTCCAGTTTTCCTGAGATGTACCTGTTGCAGGTCCAAGCACATCTTCCCGAGGCAAGTGAGTTAACTGACTATAAAAGTCCAGTTTCCACCCTTACAACTAGGCTGGTATTATGGAGTTATATTTTTGCTAGACGAACGAGTCTATGCATAGTCAAATCAAAATCGAAATCCAGTTTGTAAACTGTCATGCAATCAGATACTCTTGACTGGGCGCTGCCATTTTGTTTGAAGCAAATGCAAGTGATACGAGAGATGGAATCTGACTGGTCTATAGGAGAAGCATAGAAGGGACATAACTCGGAATTGCCATTGGTGGAGCTACAAGATACTGACCTGTGTATGATGCCCTGACCTTGGCGGTACTGACCTGTGTATGATGCCCTGACCTTGGCGGTACCGACCTGTGTATGATGCCCTGACCGTGGAGGTACTGACCTATGTAAGATGCCCTGACCATGCAGGTACTGACCTGTGTATGATGCCCTGACCATGCAGGTACTGACCTGTGTATGATGCCCTGACCCTGGAGGTACTGACCTGTGTATGATGCCCTGACCCTGGAGGTACTGACCTGTGTATGATGCCCTGACTGTGGAGGTACTGACCTATGTAAGATGCCCTGACCATGGAGGTACTGACCTGTGTATGATGCCCTGACCATGCAGGTACTGACCTGTGTATGATGCCCTGACCGTGGAGGTACTGACCTGTGTATGATGCCCTGACCGTGGAGGTACTGACCTGTGTATGATGCCCTGACCGTGGAGGTACTGACCTATGTAAGATGCCCTGACCGTGCAGGTACTGACCTGTGTATGATGCCCTGACTGTGGAGGTACTCCAGTGCCAAAGCCACTTCAGCAGCATACATGACAGCCATCTCCTCATCAAAGTATCCGTAGATGGCCAGGAGACTCTTGACATCTCCCCCAATCAGGTACTCCATGATCTGGCCAAACACAAGCCACACACCATGTGTTCATGTAATCATTCACTTCGTAGACTCATTTACTTATTTATCAAGATGTTCTACTGAGACTGGAGGGAAGAGGGACCTACAGGAAGATGTTCTACTGAGACGGGAGGGAGAGGAGACGTACCAGGAAGATGTTCTACTGAGACTGGAGGGAGAGGGGACCTACAGGAAGATGTTCTACTGAGACTGGAGGGATGGGGGACCTACAGGAAGATGTTCTACTGAGACTGGAGGGAGAGGAGACATACCAGGAAGATGTTCTACTGAGACCGGAGGGATGGGGGACCTACAGGAAGATGTTCTACTGAGACTGGAGGGAGGGGGGACCTACAGGAAGATGTTCTACTGAGACCGGAGGGATGGGGGACCTACAGGAAGATGTTCTACTGAGACTGGAGGGAGGGGGGACCTACAGGAAGATGTTCTACTGAGACTGGAGGGAGGGGGGACCTACAGGAGGATGTTCTACCGAGACCGGAGGGAGGGGGGACCTACAGGAAGATGTTCTACCGAGACTGGAGGGAGGGGGGACGTACCAGGAAGATGTTCTGCTGAGACTGGAGGGAGTAGTACAGTTGGACCACAAATGGACTCCTTGATGCAGCCAGAGCATCTCGTTCAGCCATCACTGCAGAAATAAACAGAATCATCGGATGTTGTTCTGCATTCTTCAGTTTCATATATTTATATACATTAAACATGTTAGGTAGTCACCATCGTTTAGGTTTTATGTAATTGCGAAGACTTACTTTTCTTAAAGCCACAAGCCAATACATTCATCCCCCTGTTATGCAATGTAGAATTCAAATTATTCCTGATATCCTTCTGATTCTTCACAACAGTGGCGGTCTATTATCTATCCTTCAGTCTGGCCACCCTGTATGACCTAATGACCTTACCTGCCACTGTGCCAGCTTGACCACCCTGTATGACCTAATCTGCCACTGTGCCAGCTTGACCACCCTGTATGACCTAATGACCTACCCTGCCACTGTGCCAGCCTAACCATCCTGTATGACCTAATCTGCCACTGTGCCAGCTTGACCACCCTGTATGACCTAATGACCTACCCTGCCACTGTGCCAGCCTAACCATCCTGTATGACCTAATCTGCCACTGTGCCAGCTTGACCACCCTGTATGACCTACCCTGCCACTGTGCCAGCCTAACCATCCTGTATGACCTTACCTGCCACTGTGCCAGCTTGACCACACTGTATGACCTAATCTGCCACTGTGCCAGCCTAACCATCCTGTATGACCTAATCTGCCACTGTGCCAGCTTGACCACCCTGTATGACCTAATGACCTACCCTGCCACTGTGCCAGCCTAACCATCCTGTATGACCTAATCTGCCACTGTGCCAGCTTGACCACCCTGTATGACCTACCCTGCCACTGTGCCAGCTTGACCACCCTGTATGACCTACCCTGCCACTGTGCCAGCTTGACCACCCTGTATGACCTAATGACCTACCCTGCCACTGTGCCAGCTTGACCACCCTGTATGACCTAATGACCTACCCTGCCACTGTGCCAGCTTGACCACCCTGTATGACCTAATGACCTACCCTGCCACTGTGCAAGCTTGACCACCCTGTATGACCTAATGACCTAATGACCTACCCTGCCACTGTGCCAGCTTGACCACCCTGTATGACCTAATGACCTACCCTGCCACTGTGCAAGCTTGACCACCCTGTATGACCTAATGACCTACCCTGCCACTGTGCCAGCCTAACCATCCTGTATGACCTAATGACTTACCCTGCCACTGTGCAAGCTTGACCACCCTGTATGACCTACCCTGCCACTGTGCCAGCTTGACCACCCTGTATGACCTACCCTGCCACTGTGCAAGCTTGACCACCCTGTATGACCTAATGACCTACCCTGCTTCATGAGGTTCTTGTTCACAAGGTCGGCCTTCTTCATGACTTTGATGGCATACAGCTTGTCTGGGGCCAGTTTCTTCTGGCCAAGAAACACCTTGCTGCAAGAAGTATGACAACTGATTTCTCAAACATTTGCTGGTAAAATATGGCATATTACTAAAAAAAGCTACACTGACATAGAATCTATACAACAAAAACATCTTACAATGTTGAACATGACACTGTTAGGGAATAATTGATCTGATGACAATAATACAAACAATAAGAAGAAGAACAATAATATAACAGTTCTGCATTCACCAGCCGCAAAATTCATCAATTACACTGCAAACTTTTAACATGTGAGTAGAAAGCTGGTTCTAAACATGTTAGCAGGAATTCATTTCAGTTTGAAGTGAAGTTGACTTTTGTATTATTACATACCAAAAGTGTATGTTTACACTAGTCATCTCCAGATTCACTTCAATAACCCATTCTAGCTGTTGATAAGTTTATCATAAAAATGCCTTGAAATTCACAATAAATAAACTTATAAAGATCATAATCAGGGAAAATGTGGGATTCAAACCCATTTCATTTAATCCTGGCACACCCAAGGGACACAACTCTAGACAGCATATTGCAACAACCTGGACAACTGGGCCCAACATGAGCATTATTTGGCGTGGACACAAGGCTACTGGCCAGGAACACACGTCCAACTTACCCAAATGCTCCCTTGCTGATTGGTTTGATGAAACTGAAATCTGTGATTGACGGTAGCTGGAACAAAGGTCATGGCAGTTTAACAGTTGACTATCAGTGTCACCAAATTGCAAGGCAGTGGACATCAGTATTAGATGTTGAGTATGGTTTTGTGGGACCTTCAGCATGTTTTGAAATATTCCAGGAATATGAAGGCAGGGAACACTAGCAATGGGCTTCATACATTGTGGGGAATAAAACTTCTGTTTGCACCAAGACGTATACACTTTAACCACTGGGCTACCACATCGCTCCCAACGTACATCAAACAAACTTGAACTTACAGTTCTACATTGAGGTGAGGTGAGGTGAGGTGCGGTGAGTTCAAATCATGGAAAAGGGGTTTGAGATTATTACTCTTCTATGGCAATGTGCGTGTGTGCTTGTACTAGTCTTGACTAATTACAGTTTTATTGTGCTAGCCCACTGAGATACCATGCTGCAGTTTAAAATGGATACGCTCTATCTACAAGACCAGGTAGGCAGTCAGTTCAACATTGAAAATAAAAGGACTAATTATTCAAAGATAATGTCATCATATTAGGGATAACAGTTTTTATCTGACCAGGTGATGGTGGAGTCACTTCGCTCTGCCTCGGTAGCCAGGACTGGATGCTGTTCAGGTGAAGTAATCAGAACATTGTCAAACGAAAACTTTCTCAAACTGTTTCCATTTTCTAAAGCCGAGACAAATGTTGTAATCCTTGTGAAGGGCGAGTGACACTCGAATACATATTAACTACAATCTGACACAGATTCTACAGGGAAGAATTCTGATCTCCATCAATAAAAACCACTGTCCACATGATCATTGATTCATGCTTGGCTCTAAAGTATTTATCTAAACTGTACAGTACACTACACAATTTCATTACTTCACAGGACCCTCAAATTAATTATTGGGGGTGCCCTGGACCCCCACTTTGTAAGTCAAAGTAAAACCCTGGTAACACCTCCAACCAGCTGAATTAATCTGGCACTCGGAGGCTCCCCACTGCCTATATGAACGGAGCCTAGAGGTTAAAGCATTCACCCGTCACGCGAAAGACCCAGGTTGGATTCCCAACATGGGTACAATGTGTGAAGCCCATTTCTGGTGTCCCCTGCCGTGATATTGCTGGAATATTGCTAAAAGTGGTGTCAAACCATACTCACTCAGCCGTAGATCAAATGTCACTAAGACAAGCAACCAGTTTTGTGAGAATCCATCAGACGTGACCTCGCAACTTTAGGATAGTTAGCCCGATAGCTAACCGACTAAGCTATGTTGACACTGTTAAACTTTACCTTGCCATGCCTGAGACATTACGGAAATGTACGGAAATAAACAGCAAGGGTTGAATAGGTGACGGACACTTACAAAGCTTACAGGCAGGCAAGGAGTCTCATGACTTTAGTCTACAGACACTTACAAGTGATCCTGATGCCAATTAGCACAGACGTCCCATTCTGTAATCTACAAGATACTGAGTAGTGAGGAATGAGCCAGTATGGAGTGAAATTGAAAACGGTTCTAGGTATTTGCGGGTATGCATGAAGGACATAGTGTTTAATAATTTGTCAGGTGATTTTGTGACAGAAAAGTGTGGGAAGGAACACTGTGAGGGTATTGTGGATCAAAGTAAGCAACGAGGGAGGCATAAGCATGGCTAGTGATGACACAAGGGTGAGTTAGCTTTTGAATCATTACTGAACAAATGTAGTTGTTAAAAGTGGCTTGTGTGGATGTTCCAGGACAGTTTCCAATAGCCAAATATTCGACACTAAAACCATTTCATCCCGCTTTCAAAAAGTTTTTGAGTGAAGAATATTAGGAGCCACTAGAGAATCTAATAGCCACTAAACAGGTACCTAACCCTAATGATCGTAAAGGGGATCCAAGGGCTAAGGATAGAGTTCAGGTTAGCCTACCCTAACAGAATTAACTAACCACTGAACGGGGAGGCCAGGTACCTAACCCTAATGACCGCAAAGGGGTGCTTTATTGTAACGGGGATCCAAGGGCTAATGATAGATACAAAAGATGTCCCGTGGTAGATAGTGTTCGGACCGGTGATGTTTGAATGTGTGCAGACTTAATAAACTGCATTCATGTACATAATAATGAAAATTAATGAATTAAAAAAATAATACATGTATAATAGTTTCCTGTTATAATCCTTTTAGTCCCATGAATTAAGTTGAAACCGAAACATAAATATACTGAGAATAAAAGTGCTTTCATAAACTAGATCTAGCACTTGCTATAAAATGTGTTGCAAGTTCCGACGTTCATACAGTTTGGCCCTCAGTCTATGATGGTTCATACTCTAATGAACTGAAACAAAGTGAACGTCAATTCTTAATTAACAAAATAACAAAGTAAATATATTTTACGGAATTTGGATATATATTGATCAGCTGTTGATGGCTTTTCTTCAATTTACTGACGACCTGTCTTCATCTGTTAAGTTTCTGGAATTACAGAATAAGCACCACACCATAATTATGATAATGTACCAGGTAAGTTTCCACAAGTCAATACAAGCAACCATGACCTTAGCCCCGAAGTGGGGACCCAAATACTGCAGTTGACCCGTCTTTACCTTTGCACCTCCATTTTGAGGAATATCATCTACCTCCAAGAATCTGTCGACGTGGTTTTCCTTATTGTTACCGTTATGCTTCATATTCAGAGAATACGTTGTGCAAACAACGCTATTATGGTGGCATTATTAACACCACACGAACAGAAACAACCTTCCTGAGTTTGTATCAACCGCCTTTGAATAAGGCCGGAAATTCAATATTTCTCAAAGGGAGGTAACTTCAAATTCGTATTGTACGCGCTTCCCACAATAAAATAATTTCAGTTAACAGGAAGGGATTTTTATGACGTCATTGTGCCATGTTTCTTTCAGATGTTCTCTTCAAACATTATTGCACTGAGTTATTAAGAAATTGTGAAATATCTAAATTGTTGGAAAAAATGATCTGGTTGTATTTAGTTTATATTTTCACTTGCATCCCACAAAACAAGTAATGCGGATCTCTAAAAAAACACAACAAACAATTGGACATTGTTCATGTGTGGTTTATATGCTGTAAAACAAACTATGTCTCTATTTGTCTTGTGTTCCTTTGGAGAATGTGTACTGTAGGAGTGAAATAATATGTAATATTTTATGGTGATATTTTGTCTGGACGCCATCGAAATCGGCACCAACATGGCATAAACGGTTGTTCAGCAAACAAACTAAAGACGAATAAGTAAAAAGCCGTATGTGTAACATGGAACGAAAACAATCCCGCGAAGGTCAGTTATCCTTTAAATAAGCCATACGATCATTGTGAAATATAAGACGTAATGTACAGTTAGGGAATTGAGAACTTTCGGAACAAACGCTGTCCTCCAACAAAACATGCTGCACTTCAATTATATCACACAACACTAATGTTGCAGGTGTTTTCAAACTATAATTGTGATACATAATCTGAGAGCATAAAATACATTCTATTCTATGGTGTCTGAAACACTTCATTTCACGTGTCCCTGAATACGTGAGCCTTTAAATCTAGGTTGGCTGAATACACGCACATTTAATGTAAATTTACGTGTGCGACATGTTGTTTTCTTTTGAAAGTATGTTCTTATAAATGGCAACATATATTTTATAATGTTCTGATTGTTATGGGATGTACATTTATCATGTCAGATCGTGCTCGCTGGGAGCTACATCGTCCTCACATTTGACCTTTGTCGTGTTGACGGTCACTGTATTCACTGACAATGTGGGCACAACTTAATTATGGATACCACTTCTTTATTAAAGCCTTTACAGTAAATAAAGTAGTTGTATATCCATAAATTGTGTCTACTTGGTCATCTGTCAACTTCTAAATAATGCCCTTTAAACATGTATTGCAATCACTGGACTAAATACATCCACAGTGACCTGTCACGTGATAATAAACAAGGGTTTTATATTGTCAGCATGTAACGGTAAAAGTATAACTGTCACAGCCAGCATCAAGTTCTACAATCCGAACAACTGTACCAGGAACTTTGTCTAATATTATAGTGTATGTCAACGTTGCAGTTAATGCTTGCCCCGTTATACCGCGAGATGCTTCTTGTTTCACACAATAGACTGGGCAGTGGAGGCACATGATAGGGAAAGCAACACTCCTTCAGTTTTAGCAGAGACCATATAATCTATTATATGGTTTCTGGTTTTAGTTTACATGGATTGAAATAGGGCGTGTATATAAGACAAGACTGCATGGTTGACCTTCGTTATATTGCATGTTTCTCAGCGGAAATGACATACATATAACCAAACTAAGATTAACATAGATTGCGTTTTGTTGAGTTCAGAAAAAAACATGTCAACAATAATAAACGACATTTTCAATATCAGTGGATGTCAACAAACTGATTCACATTATGGAAGCTTTCCAAAGCAGTGGTTTGACACAAGTACCACTCGGTCGAATACGTCTAACAACACGCCACCCTTGTTATAGATGAAAATCCCTTGAGCTGTGTTCCTAGTTTCAGTCTCCCACTGACATTTATATACATAAGTACTGCTCAACATGGCACCAGTGATGTCTCCGTTTACCTGCCCGTGCACAGCGCTATAGGCGGTCACAGCCGACAAAACAACACGGAGAGCTGTTCGAATCGGAAAGAGATTGAATGTTTCATGTGTGTGGTACAAAGACGGATATAACCACTCATCAATCCAATCGTGGTATATTTAATTTACTGCCCAGTCACCGACCCAGCATCAGTAATACGTGAGTTATAGCTCACTTTGGGACATATACATTCTTAGAACATTACGTGAGTTATAGCCCCCTCCTGATTCACATGATGTGAGTTATAGCTCACTACTGATTCACATTACGTGAGTTATAGACCCCTCCTGATTCACATGATGTGAGTTATAGCTCACTACTGATTCACATTACGTGAGTTATAGCCCCCTCCTGATTCACATGATGTGAGTTATAGCTCACTACTGATTCACATTACGTGAGTTATAGACCCCTCCTGATTCACATGATGTGAGTTATAGCTCACTACTGATTCACATTACGTGAGTTATAGCCCCCTCCTGATTCACATGATGTGAGTTATAGCTCACTACTGATTCACATTACGTGAGTTATAGCCCCCTCCTGATTCACATGATGTGAGTTATAGCTCACTACTGATTCACATTACGTGAGTTATAGACCCCTCCTGATTCACATGATGTGAGTTATAGCTCACTACTGATTCACATTACGTGAGTTATAGCCCCCTCCTGATTCACATTACGCGAGTTATAGCCCCCTCCTGATTCACATGATATGAGTTATAGCCCCCTCCTGATTCACATTACGCGAGTTATAGCCCCCTCCTGATTCACATTACGTGAGTTATAGCCCCCTCCTGATTCACATGATGTGAGTTATAGCTCACTACTGATTCACATTACGTGAGTTATAGCCCCCTCCTGATTCACATTACGTGAGTTATAGCCCCCTCCTGATTCACATGATATGAGTTATAGCCCCCTCCTGATTCACATTACGCGAGTTATAGCCCCCTCCTGATTCACATTACGCGAGTTATAGCCCCCTCCTGATTCACATTACGTGAGTTATAGCCCCTCCTGATTCACATGATATGAGTTATAGCCCCCTCCTGATTCACATTACGTGAGTTATAGCCCCCTCCTGATTCACATGATGTGAGTTATAGCTCACTGCTGATTCACATTACGTGAGTTATAGCCCCCTCCTGATTCACATGATGTGAGTTATAGCTCACTACTGATTGACATTACGTGAGTTATAGCCCCCTCCTGATTCACATGATGTGAGTTATAGCTCACTACTGATTCACATTACGTGAGTTATAGCCCCCTCCTGATTCACATTACGCGAGTTATAGCTCACTACTGTTTCACATTACGTGAGTTATAGTTCACTACTGATTCACATTACGTGAGTTATAGCTCACTACTGATTCACATTACGTGAGTTATAGCCCCCTCCTGATTCACATTACGCGAGTTATAGCTCACTACTGATTCACATTACGTGAGTTATAGTTCACTACTGATTCACATTACGTGAGTTATAGCTCACTACTGATTCACATTACGTGAGTTATAGCCCCCTCCTGATTCACATGGCGTGAGTTATAGCCCCCTCCTGATTCACATGATGTGAGTTATAGCTCACTACTGATTCACATTACGTGAGTTATAGCCCCCTCCTGATTCACATTACGCGAGTTATAGCTCACTACTGTTTCACATTACGTGAGTTATAGTTCACTACTGATTCACATGATGTGAGTTATAGCTCACTACTGATTCACATTACGTGAGTTATAGCCCCCTCCTGATTCACATTACGCGAGTTATAGCTCACTACTGATTCACATTACGTGAGTTATAGTTCACTACTGATTCACATTACGTGAGTTATAGCTCACTACTGATTCACATTACGTGAGTTATAGCCCCCTCCTGATTCACATGGCGTGAGTTATAGCCCCCTCCTGATTCACATGATGTGAGTTATAGCTCACTACTGATTCACATTACGTGAGTTATAGCCCCCTCCTGATTCACATTACGCGAGTTATAGCTCACTACTGTTTCACATTACGTGAGTTATAGTTCACTACTGATTCACATTACGTGAGTTATAGCTCACTACTGATTCACATTACGTGAGTTATAGCCCCCTCCTGATTCACATGGCGTGAGTTATAGCTCACTACTGATTCACATGGCGTGAGCTGACTAGTGATTCACATTATGTGAGTTATAGCTGACTAGTGATTCACATCATGTGAGTTATAGCTGACTAGTGATTCACATTATGTGAGTTATAGCTGACCAGTGATCCACATTATGTGAGTTATAGCTTAGTGATCCACATTACGTGAGTTATAGCTGGTTTTCCCGGACCAAGCACTCTCTTTGGGGTCACTGGTGGAAAATGCTGTTTAGAGTTGCCTCCCTTAGTAGTGCCACGCCCCGCTGGATGTGGGTTCGAATCCCATGGTTCTAACGGAAAACGATCCTTGGCTTGAACACCCAATGCCATTTAGATGCGGTTAAATGTAACAAATTGTATATTTTTATATTTGGGATAAAACTTTATTAGTACTCTTCAGAAGGGTACACAAAATACGTGATCTTGACTACCAGTTGTCGGGCTTTCATTTTGTGGAAGCCTCGGTGGCTGAGTGGGTAAGATCGCTGACTTCGTGTGCTGCCGATTAGGTGCCCCACTTTGGAAGTGTGGGTTCGAATCCCGGATGGGACTCAACCCCAAAAAGTACAAGAATCTGTACTTTACTGAGAAAGTGTTATCCCAAACATAACATTTGTTAGATCATTGGTTTGTCAATACCATACCAGTGCCTGTGTGGTTCTCGGGTATCGGTCATACCAGCAGATGGAACATTGCAGATTGCGGCATTAAACAACAAATACATGTAAACACTTACGGGTGTCCCCTAAATATAAACCTGACAGGCCGTGATATAACTAAAATACTGTTTAAAGCGACTTAAAGCTGAGCTCACTCACTCTGAAATATTCGATGTCACACCTGTACCGTCAAAGTGCCGCGCGTGTGGTGATAGCCAAGGTGTCATGACATGGATCACGGGGAACCCGACTAGAGACAGACAGTCTCATCTACTGCTTGTAATACATGGTTATAAATACAGTAATATATACGTAGGGTACATACACTTTCCAGGCTGTAGAACTGGACTCACACTC